CAGCATGGCCCCCTGGCTTAAAGCCCCTGGCCTGAGAACGCCCAGAAATGCCCCCCCCTCACCTGGCACTGCGCTGCGCCCCGGGGGCAGCAGGACCCACCACAGGCTGGAGAGGGAAGCAGTAGCAGGGTGTTCCTTCCTGCTGGCAGCTGGCTGCAGCCTGAAGACGCTGCTCCACCCCTTCCCCCCCAGCCGGAGGGTGGTGGGAGGGCCTAGCACACTGCCCTGGCAGCCCGCGCCTCAGCCTCCCGCCACATCGGTGAAGGGCGGGAACCGCCCAGAGATCCCATCCTGCCCCCAGCGCAGCTCAGAGGCTGGCAGCACCCAGCCAGGAGCACTGGCCATGCCTGAGCGGGGGCCGCACCTGACCCCCCCCACACACACACACAGACCAGGGGGCAATGCAGAGTGGTGTATTGAACAGCCAGCCCCCACCCCCCTTCCCCCAGTCTATGAATAAGGCAGATGTCCTGGGGGGGGGGGCTAGTGCTGCCCCTTCTTGGGGGCCCGGGGCCTCTGGCGCCCCCCCTGCCCCCGGGCTGCCTGCTTCCTCCGCAGCCCCGGCTTCCCCGGCCCTTTGAGCCTAGGACCTCGCTTGGTTCCCTGCTGCCCCGGATGCCTGGGTCCTTTCGGCTTTGGACTCCGTGCTCCTCGCTGCTGCCCGCGGCCCTTAAGGCTCCGTGGGTCCTTCTGCTGGCCAGACCTCTGAGAGTTCCCAATCTCCCTCTGCTGCCTGGGGCTGCGCCCGCCCCTCTGCAGCTGGCCAGGGGGTCTCCTGTGCTTCGCCTTGCGGCTGGCAGGCTGCTCCCCAGGCTGGCTGGTTCTGAGTCTCTTGCTGGGCTGGGGGGAGCGCGGGGGCCCGTGTTTCCTCTTGGTGCTTTTGGGGAACAGATCTAGAGATGGGGGAGAACCAGGGAGAAGAGAGTCACGATCCAGGACAGGTAGGTCCCCATGGGTAGGGAATAGGGCCCCATAGGACAGGGGAGATGGGGCACCAGGCCATCACCCACCCACTGGGCACCGGGGCTGCGAGATGGCCCCAGGGTGCGTTACCAGAACCACCCACCAAGGGATCCGTCCCCCTCCCCCCCCGCAGTCCGCGTGACAGGGCTCTGCCGGGGGCTGCGCTGGAGCCGGGGGCGGGGGGCTAGACCCAGCGTGACAGGGCTCTGCCGGGGGCTGCGCTGGAGCCGGCGGTGGGGGGCTAGACCCAGCGTGACAGGGGACAGGGCTCTGCCAGGGGCTGCGCTGGAGCCGGGGGTGGGGGGCTAGACCCAGTGTGACAGGGGACGGAGCTCTGCCGGGTGCATCAGTGCGTTTACTTTGAACTGAACTCACAGAACACGCTCAGGAAGATTCACATCATCAGCTGCACCCGGCGTGGAGACTCGGGGACCCCGGCTCCCCCCCGTCCCCTGGGCTGGGAGCAGGCCCAGCAGCCCAGGTCCGAGCCCAGCTCGTCTGGGGTCACGACTCACCTGCGTCGGGCTCCTCGCCCACTTCCTGCCGGTAATATTCCGCGTCGTCGTCTGATTGGTTGGCCGGGTCCTGGTCCTCCGGCATCCCAGGATCCTCGGCACCACTGTCACCATCCTCCCCCTGCTGCTGCTTCCTCCTGATCCCGGCCAGGCTCTGCTTCCTGCACCCCAAAGCACCAGCATCAGGCCCCGAGGGGACTGCAACTCCCAGCATGCACCAGGCTCCTCTCCCTCAAGCCCACCACCAACCCGGCCAGCTGCTGCTGCCCCCAGACAGGACAGGGATGGGGGGGGGACCTCCCGCTCACCTGTGGGCCTCCCGCTGTTCCTTCTTGCGCTGCACGTCGGCCTCCTGCCTGCGGCGCCGCTCTGCCTTCAGCCGCAGCCGCTCCCCCTTCCTGGCCAGGGCCGCCCGGAGCTGCTCCTCCGTCTTGAGAACTGGGTGGGGGGGGAAGGTGGAGGGGCTCAGTGGGGACAGAGCCCACGGATTCGAACTCGCCACTCACTGGCGGAGAACGGGAGTGACGTGGGGCCTGGTAGACCCGGAGGGGGACGATGGGCGCCGGCCGGGCACTTACTGAAGCTGTGGTAGAGCACGTTGCCCTGGTTCAACCCTTCCTCCACCTTGATGAGCTGCAGGGTCATTCGGGGCCCGATCTGCGAGGGAGGCGACAGAATCCATCAGACAAGGGCAGGCCCCAGGCCCCTGCCTGGTCACAGCTGGGAGCCCCGGCGGAGCAGGCAGGGGGTGTGGAGCCCCCCCAGCCCTCCACGCAGCCCTGTGGCCGGATCAGAACGTTTACTTTGAAGATCATGGTGCTATCAAGGTCTCTGTTGTCATCACACCGTGCCAACTGGCCCCGCCCCCCCACCCCTGGCCTCGCCCCCTGCCCCTGGGGGCAGCACACACCTCAGTGAGACGCACTGCGCTCTGCTGGGCCTTCATGTTCCCCCGGCCCGCGTATGCCTGGGGCAGCTCCAGGATATTGTGGGTCCCGTCCTGCTCGGCCTCGCTCTCCGACAGGTTAATGTCCCTACGGGGAAAACCCAGCCTGTCACAGGACACAACCTGGCAGAGCCCTGCACTGACCCACCAGCCCCCACCCCCTCCCAGAGCCAGGGAAAGACCCCAGGAGTCCTGGCTCCCAACCCCCCCACCCCCCGCTCCAACCACCAGCCCCCACTCCCCTCCCAGAGCTGGGGACAGAACCCAGGAGTCCCGGCTCCCAGCCCCCCATCCCCGCTCTAAGCCACTCTCTGCTCCACTGTACAAGTGCAGCCTCAGAGGCCCCTCCCCAGCTCCATGCCCCGTGGGCAACTCCCCAAGCGCCAGGCACCGAGCTCCTGGTTCCCAAGCTCAGGGGCACAGACAACGGGCGACGCAGGGCGACCTGCCCGTGGGAGTGGTGGGCAGGGCTGACTGAGCCGCCAGGCGCTGCAGTGTCTCAGCTCCTGGCCCTGCACTGCCACCTCCCCAGCCCGGCCCCAGCGCTCACTTGGCCAGCAGCTCACTGATGTCCTCCAGCCGGCTCATGTTGGGGAATTTCTCCTGCAGCAGCTTCTTGAGGCCTTTGCTCGCCCCCACAGGCACCACCTTCAGGCTGCTGGGGGAGAGGAGACGGGAGGGGTCATGCACCAGGTCACCCAGCTCAGCAGGCAGGGGGGACTCTGGGAGCAGGAGGGGCCGAGAGGGACCCAGCTCCGGGCACCAGAAGGGGCTCAGGAAGGGCAGACGGGACTGACCAGCTTAGCAGGTCTGCCAGCCGGGGGAGCCTGGCAATGGCAGGGAACGGACGGTGGGAAACCGCGCCAGGGGAACTGCGACGTGATTCGAACCCAGCGCTCCTGGGCTGGCACTTCCCGGTCAGGCCGTGCAGCCAGCGGAGCAAGAAGCACAGCCCAGCCCCGCACACCTTGCTCTCCCCCGCTGCTGGGACGGGGTTTGTCCTGGGAAGGGGCCGAGCCCCGTGTCGATGTGCCAAAGGGAGCCGGTCGGGGTCAGGTTCTACGCCTGGTGCTCTGAGCCGCCAGGGATTCAGGTAACAGTCGGGAAGAAGGAGCTGCTCAAAGCCAGCAAGCAGCTAGCGTGCGTGTGTCTGTCTGTCTGGCTATGATTCCCCCTGGTTCCCTCCCCCTGGATGCCTCAGAGCCTTGCTGGAGGATGAAATCACCGAGCCATCAGCAGACTATACCCTCATCACCAGCATCCAGCCAGGCAGAGCCGTAGGGGTCGCCTGCCGAGACGGAGCCCCCCTTCCCCTCTCACACAGCCCAGTCCATCTCCCTCGGTGCCCGGCCCCGACCGCCGCCCTTCCCCAGCGCAGACCCTTACTAGTGCCGGAAGTCCAGAAGCTGGGAGTCCGAGTTGTAGCTGATCAGCAGGCACCGCTTGATGGCGTTGAGGTTGACCTGGGGGCAGAGCCGCACGGCCATGAGCACCAGAGACGAGCACCAGCCTCAGCGGGGCTTCCCTCCATCCCTGCCAGCCCCCAGGGAACCCCATGCTTCCTGCAGCACAGGCTGGGGGGGCCCCCCCCCAAGCACCTCCTCCCCCCGCGCACCCACCTTGTGCACGTTGATGGAGGGGAACATGTTCTGGAACATGGTGGCCATCAGCTTGACGTGCATCTGCTGCAGGCCGAAGTTGTTGAGCACCAGCAGCGGGTGGTGCGTGAACTGCTGCTCGTGCATGCGGTGGCGCTTCAGGGAGGACACCACGTCCTTGATGAGCGAGTACTGGAGGGCGGAGCAGAGCAGGGGGTCGGGGCGCTGGCGAGAGGCAAGGGGGGCTCTGTGCTGCGTAGCTGGGCCGGGGAGGGGGGCATCACCCTTGGCAGCCCCGGCTGGTGCTCAGCAGCGCACGGTGGAGCCAGGGCAGCAGCGTGATCGCTGTGCGGGTAGCACCCACCCTGCAGAGTTACACAGGCCCAGCTCAGACCTCCGTGGCCAGGGACAGACCTGGACACCCACAACCCACACACATTTAGTTGGCCTGGGAGTTAAGGACGCAGGAATAACTGGCCCGTGCTAATCCCAAACTAACAGGGGTGGGGGCAGCTCCGTACCCCCAGCCCAGCCCAACGGGCCCAGCACCCACCTGTGTGACTTTGAAGGTCAGTGTTGGGCCTCCCGGGAGACGGACGAGTTTCTGCGGGAGAGACAGACACACACAGGAGTCAGGGTAAGGTCAGCACCACAGCACCCGCCCACCAGGGCAGTGCCAGGCGCAGTGCCAGGCGCAGTGCCGAGCAGGCTGCCCGGGTCTGCGCCTCTCGCTCTGCCCAGCGGGGCGGATGCATCAGTGCGTTTACTTTGGAACTGAAATCACAGAGCGAGCTCAGTAACATTTGCTTCATCAGCTGCATCCGGGGCGGAGCCCCTAGGAGACCCCAGGGGAAGGAACGTCACTGGGACTAGAAAGGGGGGCACCCAGCCAGGCACACGCCTCCCTGCACCCCAGCTCAGGGCAATGCCGGACCACGCCGGCCCTGTGCTCCGGACCAGGCTGTAGGGGAAGATGGTTGCAGGAACAAGGCCCCAGCAAGACTCCTCCCAGCCATGGGGAGAGGCCTGCCCCTTCCTGAACCCAGGGAGCTGTTCTAGCCTGACCAGGCACAGAGCCGGGGGACTGAGTATTTCCCCCCCAGCCCCACAGGCTCTCCCAAATCCCCCCAGCCCCCACCGTACCACTTACGAAGTTAACGTTGGTGGGGGATTTGGTGAAGACCAGGAAGTGCGTCACGCCCAGGGGCCCCGCCACCGCCACAAAATCCTTCAGCGAGTTCTTCTTCCGCACCTGGAAGACAGCAAGTGTCACGCTACCCGCCACGCTCACCCCGGGGCCTGTGGCCTGAAAAGGGGTGTTCCCAGAGACTGTGCTCCCCGCCCAGAGCCAGGAGAGAACCCCGGCGTCCTGCTCCCACCCCACCCCCTCTCTAACTCACTAGACCCCTGGTGCCGGGACAGAACCCAGGAGTCCTGCCCGCGCGATGCTAAATTCAAAGCCCGGCCTCCATGGATCCGCAGGTTTCGCAGCACCCAGCTGCAGGGTCCGGGACCGCTGGGCATGGGACGGCCGGCCGCAGGGGCCGGGACCGCTGGGCATGGGACGGCCGGCTGCGGGGACTCACCTGCAGGGTGCTGGCTGTGAACGGCTCCATCACCCGCCGCACGTCCAGGATGAGCTGCTGCAGGCTCCGGCCCACGCGCCCGCGGTGGAAGACGAAGGAGTGAGGAACGGAAGCGAACTGCTCCTGGGCCCGCTGCTGGGCGGCCGCCCGCGCCCGCTTCTGGTTCTTGGTCTGCGGGGGAGGGGGCAGGCAGTCAGCAGGGCCCCCCACGTCCAGCACCCCCCATGTTCCCCCCACCATCACACTGCCCTGGGACCCCCACCTCCCCTCCCCCCACACCCTGTCCCCCCCCCC